TTTTTTTCTTTTTTCCTTTTTTTTTTTTTCTTTTTTCCTTTTTTCTCTTTTTTCCTTTTTTCCTTTTTTCCTTTTTTCCCTTTTTTTCCTTTTTTTCCTTTTTTCCTTTTTTCCTTTTTTCCTTTTTTCTTTTTTCCTTTTTTTCTCTCTTTTTTTCCTTTTTTTTTCCTTTTTTTCCTTTTTTCCTTTTTTTCCTTTTTTCCTTTTTTTCTTTTTTTCTTTTTTCCTTTTTTTCCTTTTTTCCTTTTTTCTTTTTTCCTTTTTTTCCTTTTTTTCTTTTTTTTTCCTTTTTTCCTTTTTTCTTTTTTTCCTTTTTTCCTTTTTTCCTTTTTTCCTTTTTTTCCAATTTTTCCTTTTTTCCTTTTTTCCTTTTTTTCCTTTTTTTCCTTTTTTTCCTTTTTCCTTTTTTTTTCCTTTTTTTTTTCCTTTTTTCCTTTTTTCTTTTTTCCTTTTTTTCCTTTTTTCTTTTTCCTTTTTTCCTTTTTTCCTTTTTTCCTTTTTTTTGTAGTTGTCAAAATTTTATGTTTGATATTTATTTCATGTAAATGGATTATTTGCTGTACAATAAAATTATTTTTATTTTTTATTTATTCATTTTATTTATAATACCTAACTAATTGTATTTTGAGTAACTTGTAAAGCATTTAAATTCCTACAATAAAACGATCTTTGCATCTAAACATTCTGGACCAAAGATTAAAAGGGTAAATTCTTTAAAACCCAAACGCGTATCATATCTTCAAATCCCGATACTTTATGCCACCCCGATGATATGCTCCTGCGACGCAACTCCGTTACCAAGGCAACCCTGTTGCCCATGTCCAAGACTCGAGATTCCCGCTGTCACTAGAGATGCTGCCACTCTCCAGCATCGCTCTCCACCATGGAAACAATTTCCTTTTAATTTCATTTTCGTTCTAAATCGGCATGCTTTAAAAGTTTCGCGATAAAAGTGTCGTCAGAGTGAATTACTATTCGTTTTTCATTACAAAAATCTTTCGTAAATTTATAAATCGGGATAAGTATTGATTTTTGTCGATAGTGGTGTTGGAGAAATCTTGAAAATGAATCGCTTGGGTCAAATCCGTTTGCCGCCTATCGCGGCAGCTGTAAATGTCGCGCAACAACTTCGACGGCAAATTCTGCCCACCAACAGACCGATGGACGGCGAAGAAAACCGTCAAGCCGAAAGGGTCCACTTTGCTCAGGTGCCCAATCAAACTCAAGTCAACCATGGTGGCGTAGACGAACACCACGAAATGAGCAACATGAAGGGTGGCACCAATCCGTTTTTGAGCAACGATACTGCTGCTGCTTATCAGGAAACCGATAACAGCAGTTTCAATAGCGCTTATCAGAGACAGCAGAGTCGTATGTCGTCTGTTGATTTTTCTGAGGGATCTGATTTTGTGGAAGGAAAAGAGTTCTTGTAAGATTAATGAGTATCAGGCCGCGTGGAATGTTACAAATGCCATACAGGTAGGTAGTTTATTTCCAAAAGTTTAATTTATTGAAAATAATATTAATAAATAGGAATAATACCTATAAGTACGATTATTTTCAACAGGTATCTATGAAATAGAATAGAATAATAATAATAATTTATTTTCTTATTACAAATTACAGGTATGGAAAACGTAGAAATATGCTAATAAATAAATAAAATAAATATAAACAATAATATACAATACAAATAATAATAATAAAAACAGATTTAAATTATCCAGATAAATATTTCTCAAAAAAAAAGTAAAACAATTTTTTTAATATTTTCTTTAAAATATTTATACTGGCACTGTTTTTTGCAAATTTGAAGCAATATATTTCAATATTATATTAGATTTCCATCTTTTTTGAAAGTCCAGAACATGGTTTTTTTTTGTAAAATGGCGTTTTTGTTTGTATCATAGAAAAAAAAAAATTGCAAAAGTGCTACAAACCTATGATATAACTCATACAAGTTTTTGGAACAGATATTCCAATTTTCAACCTTTTATTTTGCACGGAAATATATATTTTTTTAAATAGCAAAATATTTGTTTTAATTTCCTCTAATTTTGTAAAAAAAAAAAAAATGCAAAAATTTTGAAAATTGAATGCGAATGGTGATATTATTTTTCTTAACAAATTGGTAAATTTACAACCTCGGGATTAGGTCCGGAAACTTGAAAAATTAACAAAAATCAACAATTCGCACTTTTTGCAGTCGCAAAAAAGTATTACAAATTTTACAGAGCGTTTTAAATAACTTCCTATAAGCGGGTGGCACAAAATTGATCGAAAAACATTTGACCGAATTGGAAATTTGATCGAAAAATACATTTTTTCGAATGGTATTTGATCGAATAACATTTTATTAGTAACATTTTATCGAAAAGACCAATAGATCGAAAATTCATTAGATTGAAAGAACAATATATCGAAAATCAACATTAAAAATAGTAAAATATCAAAAATCAAACGATGCCATGCAACCGTCCGTCTAATCCCTACTACTGGAGAAACTAAATTCAGCGGCTATCTAATTAGGTACTAATGGCAAATTTTTCGATAATCTCAAACGATTTCGTTTAAGAAATTTTTATCCTTACAATAATGTTAATTTTAAAATTAATATTTTAGAGCTGATTAAAGAACTATGATTAATTCGTACAAATATGAATTTAAATAAGGTCGAGTTTTCTCCCGATGGGACATTTTAGGTTTTTTTACATAAAACATTTAATTAATTTACCTAACCTGTGCGATCTGGAGCCGTTTGCGGTTAATCTCGCAAAAAAAAATATAAAAAAATAAGAAAAAATAAAAAACCTAATTAATTTACCTAACCTGCGCTATTTAAATTTAACTGATTGCTCTTTCATAAGTTAGATGAGTTAAAAAAAATTTATTATTAAAAATTTAATTAATTTACCTAACCTGGGCGGCCTGGAGCCGTCGCGGTTTGCCTTGCAAAAAAAATTATAGAAAAATAAGAAAAATAAAAACAGAAATTTTAACTAATTTACTACTATGCGGCATGGATCTCTCGAGAGTTGCGTCGCAAAAAAAAATTATACAAAAAAGTTTTTTTTATAAAAAACTCAACCAACTTACCTAAACTGTGTGGTCTGTAGTCGTGGCGGTTTGCCTCGCAAAAAAAATTATAAAAAATGAGAAAAATAAGAAACTTAACTAATTTACCTGTGCTAATTAAACTAATTGTATATTTGTTTTTGCGAAGCAACCAGCGATGATTCTAGGCCGCACAGGTTAGGTAAATTAGTTAAAAATTTTGTTTTAATTTTTCTATAATTTTATGTATATTTGGTTTTTCGATCAATTGCTTTTTCTATCAAAATCCATTTTCGATCAATTTTCGATCAATTTTCGATCAATTTTCGATCAATTTTCTGTTCGATAATTGATCATTTCGATCATTTTTCTTTTCGATCAATTGTTATGCGATAAAATGTTTTTCGATCAAATGTTTTCGATGAAATGTATTCGATCAAATGTTTTCGATCAATTTTGTGTCACCCCCTATAAGCAAATGCAAATTTGCAACGATCCAAGATTAGCGCAAATGTTTGTTAATTATCTATGGTCAATTTTGCATTGTTTAAGAGGAAAATTTAGATTACAAACTGAAAGACCTGCGGGGCAACGGTAGTTTTAGTAGGTATAAAAATTACAACTTAAGGGTGGAGCCTAAATACTACAAAATGACTTCCGAGACTAAACAAAAATCCGCATTCATTCATAATTTTAACAATTGCATGTAGATAAGAGGGATACATATTCTAAACTCTAACGCGCGAAGTTGAGACAAAGGAACCGAAAAATATTCCACAATTGCACAATAATTGATTGTCTGAGTCTGAGATTAGAAAAGCGTCCATAGTTGGACGGCGTTAAGCAGAAAACTACCAACCCTCAATAGTAACAAACTGAGATAATCAGCTTTAAAGTTTTTGTTCGTTTAAGAAAGCTATGGGATATGGGCTAACATTTTTTAGTTTTATAGGGTATATAATTAACTGAGATTTGGTAGGTTCTTACAGAATCCAGAACGTGTATTTTTATTACCCAAATCCGCACTCAACCTAATATCTGGTATATTGTGGGTTGGTAGCAGAGCTTTCACCTATCAGTGAGATTTAAATCATTTTTTGATTTAAATACATTTTTTGATTTAAATACTTTTATTTTAAATCTTTTTTAAAAAAATAATTTTTGATTTATGATTTAAATCTTTTTGAAAAGTATCTTTGATTTTTATTTAAAAATTAGATTTAAATCTTTTTAAAACGATTTAAATCGTTTTAAAACGATTTAAATCTTTTTTAAAACGATTTAAATCTTTTTAAAAACGATTTAAATCTTTTAAAACTTTTAAAACTATTTAAATCTTTTTAAAAACTATTTAATTCTATTTAAAACGATTTAAATCTTTTTAAAACGATTTAAATCTTTTAAAACGATTTAAATCTTTTTAAAACGATTTATATCTTTTTAAAACGATTTAAATCTTTCTGAAATGATTTAAATCTGTAAAATGATGCGATCTTTTTAAAATTATTTAAATTTTCTTAAAGATTTAAATCTTTTTTAAGATTTAAATCTTTTTAAAACGATTTACATCACCTGAATCGTCAGAATCGTTATCAACCTATCTATTTCTGAATAATAATCTAGTCAGCATGTCAGTAGGGTTGAATCAGAAATCCGAGAGAAAAGAAAAACAAAAAATAGTAAAGTGTAACAAATAATTGCAATGACTAAAGATTATTTTTAAGTATGAAATTTTACAATATCCTGAAACTCTTAACATATGTATTTTAAATTTATGCACACTTTTATTTCAGATTTGACATGAGTTTGCATTAAGACGATTATGACTTTTGACCAGTTCAATAAACACGCTTGGCATAGATAGAGCGAATTAATTAAATTTTTTATTTCTTTGCCTGATTCATCCACACATTTTTCAAAAAAATTAACCCACTTTGGTTATTTATTTACTCGCAATAACTTCACGTTGAGAGAAGAACTCTTTTAATTCAACCCAGTCAATTTCATTATTCATAGCCGGGAGATTTTGAAAATAAAATGCATTTTTCCGGGAGAGTCTCTTAAGTACAAAAAAAACATATTTTTAAAGAGTCTGATGTATGTGCATCTATGTGTATGTATGTATGACATTAAGCACGTTAACTTAAGGAAGAGTTGACGGATTTAAGTGATTTTTCAGAAAAAAAATCACTTTTCTTAAAAACTAGGTCTCCATTGTTTTGTGGCATCATAGGCATACCAAAAGTATCTTTTAAAGGGTTGAAAATTCCTATTTACCAATTGACATGACATTTTTAAATAACAATTTTCATAAATATAGATATCAATGCTACATAAATCCTTAAAAAATATTATCTTGATTAAGTATTCATTATCTTTGGCCTACCGAAAGCATTTTTTAAAGAGTCACCCAAATCTATAAAAAGATTTAAATCTTTTGAAAATATTTATTTCGTTTAAAAGGATTTAGATATTTCGAAAAGATTTAAATCTTTCGAAAAGATTTAAATCTTTCCTAAAATGATTTAAATCTTTTGAAAAGATTTAAATCTTTCGAAAAGATTTAAATCTTTCCTAAAATGATTTAAATTGTAAAAAAGATTTTTGATTTAAATCTTTCTTTTTAAAAATCGATCTTTGATTTAAATCATTTTTTCAAAATGCAAATGATTTATGATCTTTAATTTAAATCGTTTTTAAAATGATCTTAAGGTAGTTTTCTGCATAACGCCGTCCAGTTTAGCAATACATTCGCTCCTGGGATCACAGAAGTTCTCGATTGAAAAAGCCAAATTAACAAATACAGGAGGCCAACGTAAACGGACAATAAAGGGCCTCTTTGACATTTTACATTTTTAAATAAAGATTTTTAAAAAATAATTTTTATCTACCTGTTTTTTCTTATATTCAAGCGGATTTATAATATTCAAACTTGGAGTAGCCATGTTAGTTAAATGAAAAGGTACTTTGGTTTTATAATATGTAACAAGCAGATACAATGTCTCAGAATATTATTATTTATATATTAACAAACAGTATTTTTGTTGTTTGAATAATCTGTTATAATGAACCACCTTGGTACAGCTTCTGGAACAAATTCATAAAAAACCCGTACTGTTATACTAGCTATCAGCAGCCGAGTTGTAAGTTGCACTGTTAAAAAAAAATTAAACAAAAATTTCTTACCATTTATTTGGTATTCTGTTCCGTACTTCCATGTCTCTATTAGCTCCGCTGTCAACAAGTTCCGGTAAGGCATATTGAATATAAAAAATTTTAATTTTATTTTGCATATTTTCTTCCCAAAAGCTGTTTTCTACACTCTTATTCCTCGAGAAGTATAAAAGCACAAAATGAAAAAACGTGCAGCTAGCCCTGAATTTGAAAATACCAATTGTGGTTCTCCTTAATGGTATTATCCTTCTTCCAAAAAGTTATTTTTCCACTGCATATTCCTTTTCCCACAGTCAGCACGCTAGTTTCATATTGACACTTTAAAGGTACCATTTCGGTAGGCGCGACAGACGACAAGCGACCACTGAACCGACCCCAAGGTCGAGTAGGACAACAGGTGCATAAATTTTACCCTTCGTAACCATTCGAGGGAACAATCAGCGTTGCCAGACCTACTATTTTCACGTAGATCTACTGCTTTTGTATCTAGCAAATTTTGTTCTTAATTTATTAAGTTTGCCTCATTCTTCAGCAAATGGGTAAAGAATATTTTCTCTAGTAAATTTTCTGCAGTAAAAGCAGCGTAATAAGCATCCACTACTGTAGGTTGGCTCCATAAAAAAAAACATCAAGATAATCATTGTTTTTATTTAAAATGAAACAAAGAATTAATAGGGCATCATAAAAAGAACATGCATATGCCAAACACAACGATTTTTAATTATCTAATTCAGACTGATCTAAAAGTAGTAGGTACTTATTATTTTTCTTTGGTTTTTTCCCGTACGTTAAGTATATATTAAAAATGTTTTTATTCTTTGTTTACTTTCTAATTTGGGTAGAAAAAAGTTTATTTTCGTTTCTTATATACTTGTTTATTTTATTTACTACACTGCAAATTATAATTATTTTCCCCTTTATTAAAATCTACTGTTCAGATCTACGGTTTTTTTTACCCATACTGTTTTAAAATCTGGCAACGCTGCCTAGATCGAAAGAAATGTCCGACCGAATCACCCAAAAAAAAAGCGATGCCGAGGACAGTGACCTCGAGTGCGATACGCAGCAAAGCTTTGCACCGAGAAGGGTCTCCAAGACACTTCTCGGTCGTGTCGCGCCGTGCGAAATGTGTTTTATATAATTGTATGTATTTTAGATGTGAAGCGACACTTCTCGGTCGTGTCGGTGGTCGTATGTCGCGTCGGCGGTCGTCTGTCGCGCCTACCGAAATGGTACCTTGACTCTATCATAAAGTTTTGTTTTTTTTTTTTAATTCCATCCAGACTGGCAGCAACATAATTAAATTCGGAATCAATAAAAACTCCACATTTAAGAATGTTTTCTTGCAAATATATTTCCTAATCTTATTTTTCTTTGGATTTATAGCCCATGCCTACGGCGTCGTGCTCAAATTTCGTCTTCGTGTGTTATGGCCATCATATCCACTCTTGTTGCACAAACTACTATTGTGCAACAAGAGTGGATATATGGAAAATCCACTGTTGTACAATATATTTTTTCTACGACCTATAAATGAAAATCTACAAATTTAAAAAAATATTTTAGGTTATTAAGACAAAATAACTAATTTTAAAATAATTTATGAATTTTACTTATTTATAAAATAAAATAAACATGAAAAAAAAAAGATTTAATTTAATTAGTCCCTGCCCAGATTCGAGTCTGGGCTTCTTGCGTGGAAGGCAGATGTTTCATCCATTGTCACTTTTCGGATTTTAGTTTTAATACTCGTAATTAAATTAGTTTTATATAGTTTGATTAAAATTTATTTTTTTTTTAAATCATTTCCACTCCCTAAAATTTTGTTTTTTTGCATAACTTGGTTGGTATGTCTTAAATTTTATCATTTAGATAAATATCTAAAAAAAAAGAACTGTATCAGTTGGCAACTTCTAGAATGACGTGGTGTCCGTCAACGTGTTAAGAAGCATATCTTTGAGGTTCATTTTATTTAAATCTAAAATTAATTAAGTACATAATATGAAAATTTAAACAATACACAAAATTAGTCAATTAAATTACAGTTCAAAAAAAATTGTCAACAAAAACGTGGCTTTGTCTTTTTCCTCAAACATTATTTTAGTATTTTAGTAGCAGATGAATATGTTGAGGAAGTAGATTATACCTCTCTCGTCGAAATTTACTGGAATTGCATTTTTCTTTAACATTTTCCTGTCCTGAGGTCTGTAAAAATCTTCATTAGCATAAAATGTTATTCAGGTGGTTGAATTCCTAAATTTTGGAACCATTTATTTCTTTTTATCATATCACGAAAAGAAAACCTACAATAAAAAAATAATAATAAACTTTACAAAGATGTGATATTAAAATAAAGTCACAGGTTTAAATTTTCTTTATTTATGTTAATAAGTTATTAACTTTTACTATAATCATTATGAGACAGATGAAGACGAACTTAGCTTGATTTTTACTTTTTCGAAAATAAGAAAATTTATTTGCAAATTAAAGGTGATTGCCTAATGCACCGCTTCTGATAATTAAGTTGTGTCTTAAAGAAGCATTTTCAACATTTCTTTTACACATAAAGCATGTTTTCACCATATTATTACAGATAATAAATCTTAAATATACATTTAAAAACCCTTACAAGGCTATAAATAATTATATTTTTCGTAAAAAATGCAAATCAAAAATTGACATGTGTCAGAAAGTGTCAGAACTCTCGCTGTCAAACTTGGCAACATTAATTAAATAAGCCAATCACAGAAGAGGCATTTCCCCCCTCGGGGGGAGTAGATGTTCCTAACAAAATTTAGCGCGGGGAAGGGGGGAAGACTCCCTCTAGTAGTACAAATCACAGTACAATCACAAAATTGATATATTAAACATGAAGGACATTTATATTTCATAACATTTAAATTTTGAGAAAAAACATTTATTAATGGGATCACTTGACAATCATTTTTATACATTCATTCTCTCTTCTATGCCAATTGCTTTAGCAACAACATAAAAAAAATGTTTGGTATTTATCATATCACCTTTGATGTTTTACGTTAGAACTGTCAAAAAATTAAAGTGAAAAAAATTATTTTTTTACTTATTTTTATATAAAATTAAATTCTCTACAAAAAAGGTCTTAAAATTTTTGCCTAAATTTAATTCTTCAAAAGTTATTCACGATTAAAATCGAAGAAAAATTTAAATTTTTTGTAGAGAATTTAATTTTATATAAAAATAGTGAAAAGGAATTTTTTTCACTTTAATGTTTTGACAGTTCTAACGTAAAACATCAAATTATGACTAAAAATCAAAAATTAATATTAAGGGCTCAAATTTTCACGAATTTTTTTTTGTCATCCTAAATGACATTCTCGATATATTTAAAAAAAAAAAAGTCAATTTTTTTGGCCCCACTCTAAATACCTATATTACTTCATATTTGCACCACTTTTGCAATATTTTTCTCAAAATTATAAACAAAAGCGCCATTTTGGTATGGATTAACTAGTTCCATACCTTGGAAATGGTTGCAAATTTAAACTTATAGCGTCTTTGATTCCACTGCCCTGCCTGGCGTGGAGTGCACATAAAAGATGAGCGATATATCGATACCGGTTACATTTCAGATTGAAAAGTAACTGGTATTGACACATCTCCCACCTTTCGTATGCACTCAGTGCAAGCCGTGCACTAGATTCGAAGACCTATTAGTGTTATTTAAACTAGCCTATAATTATTACGAAGTTTAAAATCTTTGTATTTAATGTGAAATTTTCAAAATAGGATGTATTTATTTATTTATTGACTGGCCTATTAATTGTAATATGGAAATAAATTATTTCTATTCTATAGATATACGTCTACTGATTGAACCGTAAACTTTTTCAGGGGATGTTTATCGTTTCTCTCCCCTTTGCCGTTCTCAAGGGAGGTTATTGGGCCATCGCGGCCATGTTAGGAGTCGCGTACATCTGTTGCTACACGGGCAAGATATTGGTGGAATGCCTCTACGAGTTGGACATGCAAACGGGCAAACAAATCAGAGTAAGGGATTCGTACGTGTCCATCGCTAAAGAATGTTTCGGCAAAAAATACGGTAGCAAATTGGTCAGCATAGCTCAGATTATCGAATTGCTGATGACGTGCATTTTGTATGTCGTCGTCTGCGGCGATTGATGGTTGGTACTTTTCCAGACGGGGTTATCGATACCAGATCCTGGATGATGCTAGTGGGGATATTTTTGATACCTTTGGGTAAGTGCACTTTAAAAAATCTAACCTAATGGAAATACTGATATCATTCATTTTATCGCAGGCTTTTTGAAATCTCTAAAAAGCGTCAGCATCTTATCGTTCTGGTGCACGATGTCCCATATTTTGATCAACGCCATCATCCTGGGTTACTGTCTGCTGTACATCGGCGATTGGGGCTGGAGCAAAGTCAAATGGTCCGTCGATTGGGAAAACTTCCCTATTAGCTTAGGAGTTATAGTATTTTCCTATACATCACAAATTTTCCTTCCGACTTTAGAAGGCAACATGGAGGATCCAAGCAAATTTCAATGGATGTTAGATTGGTCGCACGTCTGGGCCGCTATCTTCAAGTCAATTTTTGGATACGTTTGTTTTTTGACGTTTCAAAACGACACGCAGCAAGTCATTACAAATAATTTACCTTCGGCTGGATTTAAGGGTTTCGTTAATTTCTGTCTGGTGATTAAAGCGCTACTGAGTTATCCTCTTCCATACTACGCGGCTTGTGAACTGTTGGAAAGGACTTTTTTTAGAGGTAAGTTACTCAGCTTGCACTTATTTACCATTGTTTTAAACTTTTCAGTGTTCATGGGGAAAGCTCAGACAGAATAACCTGGAAAATGTCTCAATATTTTTTTTTTAATAGGCATTTAATTTGTTAAAGGTCTTTCTTCACCAAACATACATTCTGCAGGTAAATTCTACAACGAATAATTTCTTTGCGAAACTTGGTCAAAAAAAGAGAAAGAATCACAGTATTATTAAAACAAACAATACCAGTGATAAATGCTTTTACAATATTCAAAATGAGCAGATTAAAATGTTTTTTGCTGGTTTCGATAAAGATGATACCTCAAATTCCTAAAAGCCACGTCTTCGTACCACAATATGTCACCATAACGTAGTATCAATCCTCATAATACCGTGTTTTTATCTTGGTTAAACTACTAATGTAAAATCTTTAATAATAATGAAATATGTCAATCCTCAAATGCATTATTTTAGGCAAACCCAAAACTCCATTCAACTCCATCTGGGCCCAGGATGGCGAACTAAAAGTATGGGGCTTGGCCTGGCGAGTGGGAGTGGTGGTTTTCACCATTCTGATGGCGTGCTTCATTCCGCACTTTTCGATTTTGATGGGCTTCATCGGCAGCTTCACCGGCACGATGCTGAGCTTCATCTGGCCCTGCTACTTCCATCTGAAACTGAAGCGGCAAGGTATGGACATGAGAGGAGTCGCCTTGGACTATTTCATCATATCTTTGGGTTTCTTTTTCGCTTTTATCGGTATGTACGATTCCGGCAAGGCTTTGTTTAAAGCTTTCTCTATTGGCCTTCCGTTTTAGAACTTAGTTACTATAAAAAATTTGATCATTCACAACTGGTTTATAATTGGAATATTTGGAGCCTAATTCTCAAAGCATCTTTCAATTCACCTACATGTAAATCCTTAATAGGAACTTATTTTAATGAATATCCAATAGAGATGGACGATACTTCACAAATTGTTATTTAATTATTTTATTCTTGATGAGCTGACAAATTTCACATAATATCTTCCTATCGTTTTCTAAAACGTTTTCTAGAAAAATATTAACAATTATTTAATTTTTTAATCGCACAGTAACAATAATTCAAAATATGACAGAAAAATCACGCCATCACTCAACTCTACTCTTCTCTGAAATTACGTCTCTGTCTTTAAATATTTACACGTAGATAACTATTTAAAAATGCTTTGTAAATGCGAATGTTAACCAATTAATTTCTGCTGTTATTAATAGTTATTTATGCAACAAGTACAAAAAGTGTTTATTGCACGCGACGTGAAATTGTCCAACACGTCGAGTGCAATAAACACTTTTTGCACGAGTTGCATACAATATTTTTTCTACGTTCGTGCAAAAACCAAAAAAATGTTTTATAGAACTGGAGTTGTATTATCCAAATCATAGTAGCCGTGATCGTGTACCTTTGTTTGAGGCATTTATTTACGTTTGTGTTCATAATTTGTAATGATATTTTTACTTAATTTATTTATTAAATATATATATAATATGCAATTGTTTTTAAAACGTAAGACAGAAAATGAAAATGGACTAAATATTTGGCGTTGATTTGAATATTTATGTTTGTCATGATCATAAAACGATGTAGAAAAATGACAGATGTGTGCAATAAAATTTTTATTGCACTAGTGCAATAAAGAACCAGTTTTTTCATTAAATATAGTTTAATAAAGTTTTGTTTTTGCATGAACGTAGAAAAATTTAAGTTAAAGATCTCATTTGAAGCATTTTTGAATAAGGGTTGTCGTTTCTAGACATTTTATATGAATAAGTAAATATTTTAAATTTGACACAAAGACAAAAGTGTTCGTTTGACAGTTAAAAAAAACCTGTTGTGAATGTAGACAATAAAACAAATAATTTAACGAACTACACATTTTAGAGCGTTGAAAAACAAAAACTTGAAAGATCAACAGATTAAGAAGATATTTATATATTTTCAAAATAGAAATATAAACAAATATTTTGGTAATAGAGATATTTTAATTCTGTAAAAGCAGTTAATAGAGCACTAAGGAAGCTTCAATTTTTGATATAAATTAATTTTAAAAAGGCCAATATGTAGATGGCGCTGCGCTCAATATTGTTTTTTGGATGGGAAGATCTTTCTTATATAGCGCATCTTGTAAAAAATGCATTTCAAAGCAAATTTTCTTCCATAAACTAATTCGACAAATCTAGCCATTTTTGATATACAGAGTGGATCACTATAAACAGTTTCATCCTGTTTTTCGGCATTAATCATTAGATTTTTAGAAAATGCTAAAACAGGTTGATTTTTATTCCAAATTATAAACACATTTTTACAATACAGACATCTGTCTTGTATCAACCCCCTCCCTTTCACTTCTCCAACCCCTTAATTTTACATAAGGAATGTATCATGTATGGCACATCATTAAAAAGGTAATTTTATGGGGAAGTCAGAAATATGACTGTTTATTGCGATACTCCTAATTTTAGCGCCCTCTATCGGAATAATAAAACCTGTAACGTATTATAAAGTGTGACACTTCATTTGAAAGCTAATTTATTTACTAATTCAATGCACTACATTACATTAATATAAATAATTCCATATTGCACTTGCAACAAAATAAAGTTAGCAATAATGATTTAAATAATGCATGACTAATTTTCAAACTATTACAAGTGCAATATGGAGGATAATTATATTAATGTTGTGGTGCATTGAATTATTAATTAAATTTGCTTTCAAATAAGGTATCACACTTTATAATACGTAGTTTTTATCCCGATCGAGGGCGGTACAATTAAAAGTATCGCAATAAACAGTCTTATTTCTAAATTCCCCATAAAATTACCTTTTTAATTATGTACTACACATTGTAGTGTCACACTCTATAATACGTAGTAGTTTTTATCCCGCTAGAGGGTGATCAAATTTAAGTAGTGCAATGTACATAAATATTTCTGAATCCCCCATTAAATTAACTTTTTAATAATGTGCCATACATGGTACATTACCTATTTAAAATTAAGGTGTTGGAGAAGCGCAAGGGAGGGGGTTGACACATGACAGATGTCTGTATTGTAAAAATATTCTAATTTGGAATAAAACTAGACCTGTTTTAGCATTTTCTCAAAATTCAATGATTAATGCTAAAAAACAGGATGGAATGGCTAGATATATCGAATTAGTTCATAGAACAAAATCTACTTAAAAATGCATTTTTTACAAGATGCGCTACACAAGAAAAATCCTTCCATCGAAAAAAAAATATTGAGCGAAGCGCCATCTACATATTGTCCTATTTAAAAGCAATTTATTTCTAAAATTGAAGCTCCCTTAGCGCTCTATTAATTGGCTTTCACAGAAATAAAATATCTCTATTACTTACCAAAATATCCGGCCTGGGAGTTTTTATTGGTACACCCTGTATACTACATAGCAAATTAGTGAAGCCTATTAAAATTGTTTGACGATGTTAAAACAATCAAATATGTATAACTATCTCCAAGCTGTTTTGCTTTAAAAATGTATAGGTTTGGTCAGCCCTCCATTTATGGAACACCTTGTATAATTAAGAATAATAGTTAAATATGGTCATAGAAATCTTATATTATTTTTTTCTTATTTCCAATAATAAAACAGCTATCGATCAATTAAGCACTGATGGGACACTCTGTATATGTGTTAGTGGTTAACATATGCTATCGTTGAATAGGTACATATATAATTTTATTTTAAAATAATATACAGGGTGTTGCATTTGAAAAAAATTGAGGAAATTGAACATAAAATTGGCCATATTTAAGACATGTTTCAAAACACTCTGTATAAAAAAATCCAGTTCTATCACCACTATTAGTTAGTTTAGTCTCTTATGAGTCTGTATTTAAAACAATTTTAAAATCATGGATAATTTAGTTTGAGGTCAGCATCATTCTTTAACTTCAAAAAAAAAAAATAATTGCTAAGCAACCCTGAAATATTTTTTAAAAAAATTCTAGTGTTGAATACAGTATTACCAAACCATTCTAAAACTGAAATAAAATACAGGGTGTTCTATTAAAAAAATATACATTTTATTTGCCAGGCAATAACGCAACATATATTCGGAAATATTTTTAAGATATGTATTTTTTAAATCCATATAACTTTTATTTAACACTTGATCGCGTGTCTATAACACAAATTGAAATATTGAACAATTACGCACTAATGGGACACCCTCTATATTTTAATTTGCATTATATTTTATAAAAAGTAACCAAGTAAAAAATGGATTAAAAATGTTTAAATTTATTTACTGATATTTACGAATTTATTTACTTATGGCCTAATTAAAATTTATCTTACGATTTTTGACTAGATAAAAATGTAAAGTAAAAACAATTTCTGTTGATCTGTCAAATAATTTTTGTTTTGACCTCCATATCGAATACCTAGTTCGTTTTTGTTACAAAATAGCATTTTATGAAAACAAAAAAAAGAGTTAAAATCAGTACTTAGACAATAAACAAAATCGTGTAATAAAGTCTTCCAAAAAAAAATTGTATATTATATATTTATGAATTGGAAAATATACAAAACTTTATATACCGAATGGCGCAATTATTTTTATAAAAAAAATTTATTTATTATTTTTTAATCATGATAGTATTAAAAAACAATCTAGTATTTAATAATTATGTGGTTGTAAGGTTTTAATATATTTTCCAAAAAGGTGTATTAAACACTCAAAAACTAATAATATACAATTTTTGTAACCACGTCTTCCAGATGTATCTGTGGTAAATATTAACTGTATGTCTTCCAATATTTATAGTTAAAAAAATATCGTTGTATTGAATGTATATTGTATTAAGGGTATTTGTAGGCTTAATTATTATATAATTATCGTTTTTGGAATACAATATGAAATAAAATGATACACCAAAATCTACAAATGTTATGATTTTTCTTTTACTTGTTATTTTTTCAATGACTGACAGGCTATTTTCACAAACTAAGTTAAAAATGTATCCTGTGACAAAAATATTAATAACCTTTTTTTGTAGATTATTAAATTTTATATCTTTCTTGTTATAAACTTTTTTAATTTTATATTTATCTAGATATATCGCGTCAAACTTTATACAATTTTTTGCAAATAAAAAAAATAGTACGTACTCATTCTCGTACCTAACATTTATTTTCTTATAACTCATATTTCATATTCCATCGAATTGTTTTTAAAAATCATAAGATATGGTTTGTCATTTTGATTTCACGCAGGCGCGTAGGTGAGATTCGGGATTTAAAAAAAATAAGATTGTTGAATAGTTATCTATTTACTTTTTAATATTCATGCCAATAATTTTTATTATTCATCAAGGGCTTCCATTTCCCCTATCCCATGTATACATACGTGCCTGGTATTGGTACCTAAATATGTGCATATTTTGTTTGTATTAAATGTACATAACCATTTGTTATAATAACACGTTTAACACCATCGAAATAATTTTGTGTCTGTTTTTTATAAACATTTTTGATTTTACATCAATGATACGTAGGTGCTTCGTTCCCAAGTAAATTTATCTAAACTCCTGTTTAAATTGTTAACTTTACAGAAAAATTCAAAAGGTGCCAGATCTGGCAATCTTGATGGCTAATTTTCCGAACTGTTTCAACCCTTTTGAGCAACAAGGTTTTTGCTTATTTCTCAAGTCTGAGTCGACCCATGTTTCTGTTTTATTTCTTTGTCTATGAGCAGCTTTGTAAATAAAATGACGTCAATCACTATTGCACGTCTGCGCACTAATGTTCTATTCATCAGCCAATGCAATTATTTTTGGAATTACAAAAAATATCGACGTACAGTGATGCCATAATATTTTTGTTAGGTAGGTACAGAGATAACGAGGAGATGTAACTACTAACAAATATCGTGCGGTCCTGAATAAGACATATTCTAAGGGACACAGGAGGGTATAATATCCGCTGCTGTCATATGCCT